CGATTTCGTTATATTGTGCATTCTGGACAGTACAATTAGACAGATAAATAAACAAAAATTAATTTTAAAAACATACAAACACACACACTCTCACCACTTTTGCTGTATACAATCAACTTTGATGAATTGTAACAGGACTTTAGTAAGTATCAAGCAAATATAAACAAACAAACAGAAAAACAAACAAAACAAGTTTGCACAACTATTGCTGAACACAATCATCTTTGATGAGTCTAATAGGCAGCTGATCAGTTTCAAACAAACTTATAAACAAACAAACACATAATAAACAAACAAACATATAAACAAACATATAAACAAACAAACAAGCAAGCTCTTACCGCTGTAGGTGTACACAATGACCCCCGAGGAATCGTTGTAGTCTCTGCCTGGCGTCCAGTACTGGAGACTGGTCAGTAGTGTCTCTCCAGTTCCGTGCCAGACAAACTGTGACCTCTCAAGGTCTGTGGTCTCACGACTGCCGCTTGTGTACCATGACCGTCTGTTTACCGCAGGGAAATAACAGGCATCGTGCAACTAGAGAGGCATGTTTAGTTAATCTGACACGTTTTATAGATCTAGATATGAACCCAAACAAAGAAAAATCCCCCTTTTGTGAATTTTCTAAAGTAGTTATGATTGTCTTTACAGTGAGTACGTGCGAAAATCGCTTGACTCATGAGATATTTCACAATGCAAATGAAGTCTACTTTTGTGAAACATTAATTCTATTCTATGATTTTCGAACATCCCTCCTCCTTTTTCCCCCTGCCTTTGCTATTGCTCTCTTCTTTTTTCAAGTAAAATGTACTGCTATTGTGGTTGAGGGCAATAATGCTCGGGGGAGGGAGGAGAAGTGATTATGAGTTGAATTACAGTACCGAAGTAAAAGTATACAGATAGGTAAGTTTCTGGGGGGGGGGGATATCGCGATTGCAAAACGTATTAATACATGAAAGAACAACGAAAGACCAATAAGAAAAAGGTGAAAACAACAGCTAAATGTAGATGGTTAGAGGCTCTCTCATCATCATCCAGTGCCAGATCTGCGACAGACATCGGCGATCATGGTTATCATTTCATTCCTTTGCTCGGATGCTCTCAAAAAAGCAACGTTCCCCTGATCTTTCCCTGTTACCCATTTGTTTAGGTTCCCTAAGTAGGTTGTTCTAGGCCTACCCCTGCCTCTTTTGCCTAGAGGCTCTATAAATTGTGAATTTGTTTCTGGTTCAGTGCTCAAGGGGACACCAATATCCAACTCGGTACTATGATGGACTGCTGGAGAACAACATGCAATGCGGGCAACACCTTTACGAGACCTTCACCGAGTCTCCTTGAACTTGGTTTGTTTTGTGACTTTTCATTACAGTCCACCCACTTCAGTCTTTTCGAGAGATAAACATCAAACGCAGAAGCCTTGTTCATTAGATATTATTCTTACAGCTTTGAAACTACATGTACCTTAAATATATATCACAACATATAAACTACAGCGCATCATATCATATTGGGGGTTCCCGTGGTCTAGAGGTCACGGTGTTCGCCTTTCATTCAAAAGGTCCCAGATTTGAAACCTGACAATGACGGAATATTTTCTTCTCTAATATGTACTCATTTCACCTTTTCTACTCTATAACCATGTTCTGTTCTCGGCTTTCGTCTTCAATGTCTGCCCCCTACCCCTCTTCCCCCTCTGCACCCTCCTATGGTCCCCTGACTTTTTCTGCCGCCTTTCTGCTGCTACTCTTTGGCTCCTTCTAACTGCTGTCTTTCAGCCACACCGATGCTCTTAGAATAGGTAAGATCTAACACCTAGTTTTCTTAGATAAGGGCAAAAAGTCTCAGAGGTCCCGTGTGCAAGTTGCGCACGTTAAAGATCAATTGGTGGTTCAAAATCGATACGAGTAGACTTACCAAAACAAAAGCCATACTATATTGTAACATATCACACCAAATATAGACCGATCATGATATCAAAACACACAACCTGTCTACTGAGAAGCTGTACCCTACTTATTCCAACAAGCAGGACCAAAGCAGCCCGCCTCCTAAGTAATCTACTCAAAGAATGTGTCAATGGGTGTATAAAACATTCACATACTTATTGTGAAGAAGAAGAAGAAGAAGAAGAAGAAGAAGAAGAAGAAGAAGAAGAAGAAGAAGAAGAAGAAGT